CATCTAATCTACCAGTGCGACTGTTTGTAGTTGTTGGGGGGAGCAGGTCTGGTTTCATAGCCCGTTAGATTATCCCAAATCATGGCTCCATCAATGAACTTTTGGTCCTGGACTCCAATCTTGTCCCTAAGATGTTCAGGGAGAATTGCTGCTACAAGCCCTCTGGATACAATGCATGAGGACAGAAAAGCAGGTAACGCAATCTGTTATGACTTGCGGACACCAATGCCTCCTAGTCTGACAGAAAGTGTAGCTTGGTTCCACTGCCCGTCTTCTAGAGTAAGGTTAAGTACTTTCGTAAAAATCTGCCTTTGGATACTGTCATATTCGTGCAGTATAGGGTTATATGAAGGTGTATCTTTATATATGCTTCTAAACTGTTGTATCTGGGTGCCTGTGCAAAAATAGTGATTATGTATAAGTGAAGTGAAAGCGTTGAATGATGAAAGTATTTTCGTTTTTGGGGATTTTCTTTCTTTTTGGGTCACCCTGCGTAGGTGGGAAACGAACGACTTGTTGAAAAAAATTTGATTCATTTATAATTAAAAAAATTTGGGAAGAATTTAATGATACATTAGACAAGTAAAAACCTTAAAGCTTGGGTAGAGTATCAGGTGTGTTTCACAGAGTCGAGTGTTATCACGCGACTGTGAGGTGTAGTCTTCTTGTGACGTGATTGTGAGGTGTAGTCTTGCCCCTTTATATGCCTTCCTGTTGATGTTTTGTTTTCTTATCGTTCCTTGATAATGTGAGAAATCACAAAAGCACTTGCAATTTCACTATTTTTTCAGAGTGGTTTTTCTGCATATTGTGATATCACCTGTTTACTGTGATTTTATTGTGCACACACACCAGAGGACTGGTGGATGAAGTGAGGAGGTGGACCTGGGAGAGAAGACTGGGAGACAGAGCTCACGAGAAGAGAGGAGTGGGGGAGGAGGATGGAAGAGCTCGGCAAGAAAATGGAAGAGAAAATAGCTGAGGAGAACAGGAAATGGGAGTTACAAATCACAGTAGCAAAAGCTAAGACACAGAGCTAAGTAGAACTAAAATGTCTGAAACAGCCTAAAGAACCAAAGGACCAAGAACTGTTACATCAGTCACAGATGAGGGGACAGTAGGGAACAAAGGAGCTATACTGTATGCGATGACTCCATCAGACTCAAGTGGGGCCCAGGAAAAGGCAGGGAGAACAACAGGAACTAATGAGGGGACCAAAGACAACGAAGGAGCTAAACTATACACAGAGGCTCTAACAGACAAGTGCTGTGTCCAGGAACAGATAAGCACAGGGACACCAGTTAGGGAAGAGACAGTAGGAAGCAACGTGTCAATGGCAGGAACTAATTCATATCACTGGATGCTCAGGGAAGTACAGTGGGAGGACTAAAGGGAGAGGGCAGTTTTTGTCTATGGGCTCCAAGAAGTAGATGGGGAAACTTACAAGCAATAAAACGGGAGGAGAAAAAACGATTGAAAGCATCATGAAAGCAATTGGAGAGGACGACATGACCCAACTGACAAATTTTCGGAGAATTGGGTGGTTTGTGAGAGGAAAAAAGAATCCAGTCAAATTGATTTTCAAGGCAGAGTAGCTGGAATGGATGAGATTGGAGAAAGGGACTACATAGTAGGTACAATTGTCAGAGGAACATAAGGTAGTCATTGCAGTGATGTATAATGCACCACAGAACTGCAGGAGGCAAAGAGAGGAATATGATAAGTGCAACAGAGTAATGGTGAACACACTAGCTGAGGTGGCAAGAAGAGCTCACTTGAGTAGAGCAAAGTTACAGGTTATGGGCGACTTCAACCACAGGGAGATTGATTGGGAAAACTTGGAGCCACATGGGGGTCCCGAAACATGGAGGGCCAAGATAATGGATGTGGTACTGGAAAACCTCATGCACCAACATGTTAGGGACATGACCAGAGAGAGAGGGGAGGATGAACCACAAAACTGGACCTTGTGTTCACCCTGAGTAACTCAGACATTGGGGACATCACATATGAAAGGCCCCTTGGAGCTAGTGACCACGTGATTCTGAGCTTTGCATACATCGTAGAGCTACAAGTGGAGAGGGTAACAGGAGTAGGAAGGGAAAAGGCACACTATAAAAGGGGCGACTACACAGGTATGAGGACCTTCCTGCAGGAGGTTCAGTGGGAAAAAGAGTTGGTAGGAAAGTCAGTAAACAAAATGATGGACTTCGTAACAACAAAATGCAAGGAGGCAGAAGAAAGGTTTGTTCCCAAGGGTAACAGAAATAATGTGAAGAACAGAACGAGCCCTTGGTTTACTTGAAGGTGTAGAGAGGCAAAAAACTAAGTGCGCTAGAGAATGGAAAAAGTACAGAAGGCAAAGGACTCAGGAAAATAGAGAGATTAGTCGACGAGCCAGAAACGAGTACGCACGGATAAGGAGGGAGGCCCAGTGGCAGTACGAAAACGACATAGCATCGAAAGTCATGTCTGACCTGAAACTGCTTTACAGCCACATCAGGAGGAAGACAACACTCAAGGACCAGGTAATCAGGCTGAGGAAAGAAGGTGGGGAGCTCACAAGAAATGACCAAGAAGTATGTTAGGAGCTCAACATGAGATTTAAGGAAGTATTTACAGTGGAGGCTGAAGGGACACTGGGAAGACAAAACAGTGGGGTACACCAACAAGGGATATACCAACAAGTGTTGGATGAATTACAACTGAGGAGGAGGTGAAGAAGCTCCTAAGTGACCTTGATACCTCAAAGGCGCTGGGACCGGACATCTCTCCGTGGGTCCTTAGAGAGGGAGCAGAGACACTGTGTGCAACTAACCACAATCTTCAACACATCCCTTGAAACTGGGCAACTCTCTGAGGTATGGAAGATGGCAAATGCAGTCCCCGTCTTTAAGAAAGGAGACAGAAATGAAGCACTAAACTAAAGACCAGTGTCACTGATGTGTCTATAGTATGCAAAGCCATGGAGAAGATTATCAGGAGTAGAGTTGTGGAGCACCTGGAGCGGAACAAGGTTATAAACGACAGCCAGCACGGATTCATGGAAGGCAAATCCTGTGTCACAAACCTACTAGAGTTTTATGACAAGGTAACTGAAGTAATAAATGCGAGGGACGGGTGGGTTGATTGCATTTTCTTTGGACTGCAAGAAGCCCTTCGACACAGTTCCTCACAAGAGATTATTACAGAAGCTAGAGGAACAGGCACATATAACAGGAAGGGCACTGCAGTGGATCAGAGAATACCTAACAGGGAGGCAACAGCGAGTCATGGTCCGTGATTGGGTATCACAGTGGGCGCCTGTGACGAGTGGGGTCCCACAGAGGTCAGTCCTGGGACCAGTGCTATTCTTGGTATATGTGAACCACATGACAGAAGGGATAGACTCAGAAGTGTCTGTTTGCAGATGATATGAAGTTAATGAGGAGAATTAAAACAGATGCGGACCAGACAGGTCTACAAAGAGACCTGGACAGGATGGACGCGTGGTCCAGCAACTGGCTCCTGGAATTTAACCCCGCCAAATGCAAATTCATGAAGATCGGAGAAGGGCAAAGAAGACCGCAGACAGAGTATAGGCTAGGTGGCCAAAGACTGCAAACCTCACTCAAGAAGAAGGATCTAGGGGTGAGTATAATACCGAGTACGTCGCTAGACACACACATTAACCAGATAACTGCTGCGGCATATGGGCACTTGGCAAACCTGAGAATAGCGTTCCGGTACCTCAGTACAGAATCGTTCAAGACTTTATACACTGTGTATGTCAGGCCCATACTGGAGTATTCAGCACCATTTCGGAACACACGCCTGGTCAAGCACGTCAAGAAATTAGAGAAAGTACAAAGGTTTGCAACAAGGCTAGTTCCGGAGCTCAGGGGGATGTCCTACGAAGAGAGGTTAAGGGAAATTAGTCTGACGATACTAGAGGACAGGAGGATCAGGGGAGACATTATAACGACATATAAAATACTTCGTAGAGTAGGCAAGGTGGACAGAGACAGGATGTTCCTGAGATGGGACACAGAAACAAGGGGTCACAATTGGAAGCTGAAGACTCAGATGAGTCAAAGGGTTGTTAGGAAGTATTTCTTCAGCCACAGAGTTGTTAGGAATTGGAAGAGTCTGGCAAGCGATTTAGTGGAGGCAGGAACCATACATAGTTTTAAGACGAGGTATGATAAAGTTCATGGAGCAGGGAGAGGGAGGACCCAGCAGCGGTCAGTAAAGAGGCTGGGCCAGAAACTGAGTCTCAACCCCTGCAACCACAATTAGTTGAGTACAATTAGGTGAATACACACACACACACACACACACACACACACACACACACACACACACACGTGATGTAGTGGAGGCAGGATCCATACATAGGTTTAAGAAGAGGTATGGTAAAGCTCATGTAGCGGCCAGTGAAAAGGCGGGGCTCGGAGCTGTGACTCGACCCCTGCAACCACAACTAGGTGAGTACAAGGTATCCAGTGCTTTACTCACCGTACCACACTGGTCCAATATCTTGGCGTCCAGCCAACGCTAGACGTTTTGGTCCAAGGCAGCCAGCATTCAGGCAGGTGGTGGTAGCTATTTCATCTCATCCCCTGCATGCATCGACCAACGAGAGATTTTTACAATGTTTAGAATTCGCAAAACAGGCAAAATGTTCACAAACACTAATCTCAGGTCGAAGGAGACTGCGTACCTTGTTCCAAGGTTCGTAGGTTCGAGTCTTCTTCCACCTGAGATTAGTGTTTGTGAATATTTCGCCTGTTCTGCGAATTCTATGTATGTGTGTATATATGTGTATATATATATATATATATATATATATATATATATAAAATATATATATATATATATATATATATATATATATATATATATATATATATATATATATATATATATATATATATATATATATATATATATATATATAATATATATATATATATATATATATATAGATATATATAATTCACCATTTACATTATTTTCAGGGATGTAAGAGAGGTACTGCTTTAGAGTGAGCGTCGCCGTGTTTGAGCTGTGCTTCACTTCAGTGTCCAGGAACTACTAGCATCATTGTACCAACACTTAATCACGTAACTACCAACTATGGTACCATGACTCATAAAGTAACTTCCAACTATAGTTCAAACACTCAACAAGTAACTACCAACCATGGAACCAACACAAATCAAGTAACCAGCAACCACGGCAGCAACACTCATCAAGTAACCAAAACGCATGGTACCAACACTCATCAGGTAACTTCCAACCATGATACCAACTCTCAAGTAACCACCAACCATGGCAGCCACACTTAACCAATAACCAACAGCAATTGCAGCAACACTCAAGTAACCAGCAACCATTGCAGCAACACTTATCAAGTAACCAGCAACCACTGCAGCAACACTCATCATCTACACCCATGGTACTAACACTCATCAAATAAGCAACAACTATGGCACCAACACTCATCAAGTAACTACCAACCAAGGTACAAAACACACATTAAAACATACAAACTTACTCTCTGTTAGTATTAAAAGCAGTTAGGAAAAATAAGAGCAAACAGATGTAGAGAGTCTGTAACTGAAAATAATATATATGAAACTATATGGTGCAGGAGAAGAGTAGTGTTTCAAATACCCTTTCCCCTTGGCTAGTATTTTATATTCAATATTATGTAAAATAAGTACTCGAACTGGGAACCATTTATGCAAGAATAATAATAATAATAATAATAATAATAATAATAGTAATATTATTACGTCCCAGTGCATTGACGGCATGTAGAAGTTTTGAAACAATTCTTTGATCGATCACTTACTGTGTTGTCATGACTGTGGTATAATATCTTTCATGTTTCTCACTGTGTCATGAATGTGGTACAATATTTCCCATGTCTCTTACTGCAATATCTCTCATATCTCTTACTCTGTTGTCATGACTGGTTCAATATCTTTAATGTCTCCCGCTGACTGGTGACATGCTTAAGGTGTAATATCTCTAAAGTCTCTCACAGACATTGTCTCTCTTAACCCTCTCATTCATTTTAGTGATGCCTGTAGTGGAGTATCTCTTATATATCTTACTGATTTCGTTTTGATGCTAGTTATAAAATATCTCACATACGTCTCACAGATATTGATGAGTGCTTGTCGTGGAAAATTTCTCGTGACTTTTTGTGTTTTTATTTTGATGCTGGTAGTGGAATGTCTCCCAAGTCTCACTGACCATGATGTGATACTTGTGCTGGAAATATTTCTCATGTCTCTCACTGACAATATTGCGCTTCCAGAATTCTCAAAGTTAACATGAGTTAATTCTTGAGTAGAAATACGAGATGACTTTATTTTAGATTTTCTCATTAAGCAATAATGCAGTCAACGTACTAGTGTTTCTATCATTACCCATGAAAGAAACACTACTAAGTTAGCAAAGTTTGTCATCAATAACATCAATCAGCAATCAGTTAGCCACCAGTAGATCACTTAGTTACATGGACCATCAACCAATCACCAGTAGACAGCTTCACATTAACATGCCCTCTTCTACACAGTAAGCGGTATCATCGTCACTTAAGACAGTGACTGGAATCACTACAAACACCAACATCAAATACCACTTTCTTGCACAGTTACAGATGTCACTACCACCACCTCAACTACTACAATCTACAAAGTGATCAGTGTAACTACCATTATCTACACAGTAACCACTGTCACCACTACCACCATCAGCAGCCACCATCATCTACACAGTAACCACTGTCACCACTACCACCATCAGCAGCCACCATCATCTACACAGTAACCACTGTCACCACTACTACCACCATCAGCAGCCACCATCATCTACACAGTAACCACTGTCACCACTACCACCATCATCTACACAGTAACCACTGTCACCACTACCACCATCAGCAGCCACCATCATCTACACAGTAACCACTACCACCATCAGCAGCCACCATCATCTACACAGTAACCACTACCACCATCAGCAGCCACCATCATCTACACGGTAACCACTGTCACCACTACCACCATCAGCAGCCACCATCATCTACACAGTAACCACTGTCACCACTACCACCATCATCTACACAGTAACCACTGTCACCACTACCACCATCAGCAGCCACCATCATCTACACAGTAACCACTGTCACCACTACCACCACCATCAGCAGCCACCATCATCTACACAGTAACCATTGTCACCACTACCAGCATCAGCAGCCACCATCATCTACACAGTAACCACTGTCACCACTACCACCATCATCAACACAGTAACCACTGTCACCACTACCACCATCAGCAGCCACCATCATCTACACAGTAACCACTGTCACCACTACCACCACCATCAGCAGCCACCATCATCTACACAGTAACCACTGTCGCTACTACCACCATTAGCAGCCACCATCATCTACACAGAAACCACTGTCACCACTACCACCATCATCTACACAGTAACCACTATCACCACTACCACCATCAGCAGCCACCATCATCTACACAGTAACCACTGTCACCACTACTACCACCATCAGTAGCCACCATCATCTACACAGAAACCACTGTCACCACTACCACCATCATCTACACAGTAACCACTATCACCACTACCACCATCAGCAGCCACCATCATCTACACAGTAACCACTGTCACCACTACCACCATCAGCAGCCACCATCATCTACACGGTAACCACTGTCACCACTACCACCATCAGCAGCCACCATCATCTACACAGTAACCACTGTCACCACTACCACCATCAGCAGCCACCATCATCTACACAGTAACCACTGTCACCACTACTACCACCATCAGCAGCCACCATCATCTACACAGTAACCACTGTCACCACTACCACCATCTACACAGTAACCACTGTCACCACTACCACCATCAGCAGCCACCATCATCTACACAGTAACCACTGTCACCACTACCACCATCAGCAGCCACCATCATTTACACAGTAACCACTGTCACCACTACCACCATCAGCAGCCACCATCATCTACACAGTAACCACTGTCACCACTACTACCACCATCAGCAGCCACCATCATCTACACAGTAACCACTGTCACCACTACCACCATCTACACAGTAACCACTGTCACCACTACTACCACCATCAGCAGCCACCATCATCTACACAGTAACCACTGTCACCACTACCACCATCAGCAGCCACCATCATCTACACAGTAACCACTGTCACCACTACCACCATCAGCAGCCACCATCATCTACACAGTAACCACTGTCACCACTACCACCATCAGCAGCCATCATCAACACAGTGAACAACCTCTCCAACATATTAACTGGGTTTTTCCACATTATAATTTAGTTTCACTTCACAATATTTTTTAACACTATAATATAGGTGTTTTATTTCACTAAAATATTTGCTTGGTTTCACCTTAGTTTATAGTTATTAATTTTGTCTAATATTATATTTTATGGGAGAACAAAGATGTTTTAAGAGAAATAAAAGTTTTTTGTTCATTTTTTTTACTCTCGAGTGAATACTACACTGTTTTTTGGATGGCCTCTTCTTGCACTCTTCTTAGGCTAAATTAAATTGTGCTTGTTTTAATAAGGTTAGATAAGTTTTCTAAGGTTCTTTTAGTACAAAATTATTAATTTTTACATTAACATAAAAAAATATTTTTTTAAACGCATAAAAGAATATTTTAGAAACGACTATTTTACACGAGTTCTTGCTAATTGCCTATTCGGCACAGCATGCACACACTATATATATATACATACATATATATGTATATATATATATATATATATATATATATATATATATAATATATATATATATATATATATATATATATACATATATATATATATATATTATATATATATATATATATGTGTGTGTGTGTGTGTGTGTGTGTGTGTGTGTGTGCATTCATTAGGGAAAAAAATAAATGCAGAATAAATTGGGACAAAATTCTTTTTGCTGAGAAATTACAGAACAAATGTGTGTGGTCAATTGTTCTCAGCATATTGTTGTAGCTCTATTAATATTCTATATCAGGGTGGTCTAACTTCGGACCCGTCGGCCACAAGCGGCCTGCGAGTTGATATTTTGTGGTCTGTGAGCCACAAAGTAGTTAAAATATTTGCAAAAAGATATCCTTTCATTTCCTCAAAATGAACAGCTGAACAATACACAGATGTACCAAACTAATCAGCAATGTATTTTGTTTACACACTAGCATTGCTAACAATCATGACAGCCCACTTGAATGTGCTGAAGCTGAGCTAACAAGGCAAACAACAAAATGTTTCTCAACTAGCTGAACAAACTCAAGCTTCTTTAAGAAGCTGCAACTGTTCATTGTGTGTTGAAGAAATAATAATCTTGCACACTTCTTGTCGTGAACTCATGGCAGATATCGAGTCAGACTTTTCATGTTTTGTCAGAAATTTTTTTTTTTTCTTTCTAGTGAGTTTTAGAAACTGAAACCCAATCACCAGTTATTTAACAACGCCATGGAAGTCAATGTGGAAACAGTTACTAGAACTTCAGCTTGAACTGTGTGAACTACAGTGTAATCCATTGTTGCTTGCAAAGAAAAATGAAAATCAGGAGAGTTTCTGGAAGTTGATCTGCAAGGATAGTTTCCCCATGCTGAGATAGTTTGCACCAAAGCTGCACTCAATGTTCAGTAGTATATATATATATATATATATATATATATATATATATATATATATTATATATATATATATATATATATATATATATATATATATATATATATATATATATATATATAACTGTCCTGGGGACCCTCATCCTCAGAGAAAAGAATAAACTTGCTTTAGGGAAAACTCAAGGTTCTCCCTGAAGCTGTTTGAAAATTTTCTCCTACCACCCCCTATATTTAATATATATTTTATTTAAAGACAAAATACATTGACAAAACATTCACAAAAATACAATAGAAAGTAAAACATAGATAACAACACAGATCTACATCTTGAATACTTTGTCCATCTCCCCGGCGGTGAAGCTGGACGATGAATGCTGCAGGCGTTTCCTCTCTGAATCGCGACAGTGAGTCTGAAAGAGGAACGTGGTCGCCCTGTGGTCCTTGGTTTCTATGATGAGCTTTTCAACCAGCTCTTTGAGAAACTTTAGAGCACACTTTCCCCATGCTCCAAAGGTCTCCGACCCTATTGGGATGAAGTTTTAGCAAGGGGGAAGGTCTTCATATTTGCGGATCTTCTGGGTCTCCCTGTGGCTGGCAGCTCCACCCCCTTCCACTACGAAGTATGGCAAGTAGGTGTCTGCCAATGTAGCGGCACAGGTGTAGTCCCAGGCAATCTGCTTTCCATTATTCCATGGTAGCATAGTGGCTCCATCAGGACGCTTTTGACTTCTGTCAGACCTCTGCACTTGGGGTTCCCGTTGAGCTGGGCAACGGGCTGTGGCGAGGCTTCTCTTTATGATGTCATCGACCTCCTCATGTCTGACATACTTCCCTTCTGCTGTGTGACACACGAAACCATGAAGTCTGAATTGATCAGCTATCACCTGCCGCAAATACACCTATGTTCGGCGAGGATGGGGGCGGCTAGGCGAAGAGCAACACCAATCCGAATGGCCTGTGGGTCGAGACGGGTGCCCAGGGAGGAATTGGGAACAGCTAGACGGAAATCTCTTGAGTTTGGTGCCTTCACCGCCAGGAGACGAGCTTTGTCCTCTCCTGAAGCGTTGGTGAGTATTGTGTTGGCGATTGTTTCCATGATCGGTTTGTCCCAGTGGGACTCTTTGTGCTCTTTGGGAGGAGCTGGTCTACTGGAGGAGTCTGCAAGGGTGTCCTGCCGCATCGCTGCTTCAGCTTCAGCAGATAATATACGTGAATGTACGTTTTCTACCATGAAGCAAGTAAAATCTAAAACCAGAAAACCAGATGCAAATGAAACACTGGAGGAGTATCTTTAACTTGCCACTACCAATATCAGAATCGATATGGAGACTCTGGTAAAAAAAAAAAATAGGTCTCAACCCCGGACATCTCATTAGTAGTAGTATATCTGTATGAATTCAGCTGTAGGCCCTGTCTAGAAGGCTCATGGCTCATGAAAACTTGGTTGATATGCCTTCTCTTCTTAAGACTTTTAATATCAAAGTTGTATTTAAAAATCTTGATACAGTAAAAAAACTTTTGATAAAGAATTCCCCCCAAAATGCTGACGGATGTGTCTATAAGATTCCTTGTAAAATTTGCGATAAAGTTTATGTTCAAACTGGTAAAAGTCTCGAACTAAGATTAAAACAACATAAATATAGCATTAGAACTGGACAAGATTCCAATGCTCTGTTTATTCATGTGAGAGATTTTAACCATCCAATTGACTTTCAAAAAGTTGAGTAAGTTGTATCAAGCAAGTCCATGATCGACAGGAATATAATTGAATCTTGTTTCATAAAAAGCATTTTTGACAATAATATAAATATTTCCTTTGGTTTATATAAATTAGATCCATTTATAATTAATAAATCTTAATTCTTGGGTAGAATAGTTTGTTCGTGGGTTGTGTGAAGGACCTGTCTAGTTGGGCCAGCGGGCCTGCTGGAGTGTTCTCTTTCTTATGAGTCGCGTGTCAGGTGTTGCTTTGTTGTGGGATGTAATGGTGAGGTGTGGTCTAGACCCTTTATATGCCTCCCTTTGATGCATCACTTTTATTGTTCCTTGATAATGTGAGTAGTCACGAAAGCGCTTGGAATTTCATTATTCGTTCACAGTGGTTGTTTTGGATATTCT